GTATATTTGATGAATCCCCAGCTAGACTGCAACTTCCTGTGGGACAAGTCTTTTTTTCACTTAAAAAAATCTCCCCCAGCATTCAATTTGTGCTGTGTGTAAAGTAGTTGCTGGACAAATGCTAGGTCAATGTTGACTATTGCAAATCACCATAAAGTAGAGCGAACATCCTCGTAGGTGGAGCAGATGAGAGCCTGTGCCAGGTGGTGAGGGTTGGGAAGACCCTTGAATCCTTCTGAATAGCTCCCCATTATTGCCTGTGCCTGAAATTTCATAATTAGAAATTCACTCCTTTATCTTTAAGCCTTTATCAATTAAGTCTCAACAATCATTTGTGCCTCTGTTGAATCAGTATAATTTCTATGAGTCATAGTTGAATTCACAAAGAAGAGTTGGCTGGTTAATCCTTCCTAAGCACCAGTCCTGCCATCTGGAGAGTGGCTCCCAGGTGCTCAGGGCTGCCTGTCGAGACAGGAGGCCCCACTAGACTACTTAGGCCCCACTAACTGAGAGGGCCGGAGAGAAAACATGCCCAGTGAAGGTACCTGATTAATGACTTTAGGATCAAAATAATGGTATAAGGAATGACTGACCATTAATTGCCCACATTTACATACTCATTTTGATATTTTTGCTTTTAAAGAAACATAATGCCAAGGCACAAATTAGTTTCCTCTTTTAAACCTCAATTATCATCAATTTTGGTCAGTTTACTCTAGGCATGGTTCGCTTCTCAACTCCAGGGAGGAATTTCTCTGGCTTTACTTGAATGGTCAGAACAGAGGCCTTCCAAGGCAAGGCAGCTCTGGCTATGTCTGGGCCCTGGACTGGCCACTTCAGCTCCAAGTCAGGGAGCTCCAGAACCCTGATACTTCTGCTCTAAGACAGGCACAGATCACTGAAGGCCAGATACTTCCGCCTGTGTGTAAAGCACTGAAGAGAGAAGGGAAAATCCTTTCCTCTTCAACACCCACAACTTTTCTCCTGGTGTCTAGATTCTGACATTTACTCCAGTTATCTTCCCTCTCACTTCCAAAAGGGGCTGAATATCCAACCTTCCACTCTAAACCCTGGCCTTTGTGAGATGTCCATGCTTTTCAACAAATGGTGTTGGGAAAACTGGATATCCACATGCAAAAGAATGAATTTGGACCCTTGCTTTACCCAATATACAGGAATTAACTCAAAATGGATCAAATATCTACTATAAAGAACTAAAACTATAAAACTATGAAAAAAAACAGGGGAATATTAGAAGAAAAGTTTCATAACACTGGATTTGGCAATGATTTCCCGGCTATGACACCCAAAGTGCTTGCAGGGAAAAAAATAGATATGCTGGACTTCATCAAAATTAAAAATTTTTGTGCATCAAAGGACACGATCAACAGAGTGAAAGGGCAACCCACAGAAGGGGAGAAAATACTTGGAAATCATATGTCTGATAAGTGGTTAATATCCAGAATATATAAAGAGCTCCTACAGCAACTCAACATCAAAAAGACAACCTGATTAAAAAATGGGCCAAGGACTTGAATAAACATTTCTCTAAAGAAGACTTGTAAATGGTCAATAGGCACATGAAAAATGGTCAGCATCACTAATCATTACAGAAATAGAGATCAAAATTACAATGATTTATCACCTCATACCTATTAGGATGGCTGTTATCAAAACAAAAAAATAAACACAACATAAAACAACAACAAAAAACAAATGAATTTCAAAATAAAGTGAGGATGTAGAGAAATTGGAATCCTTGTACATGTTGCTTGGAATGTAAAATGGTGCAGCTATGGAAAACAGCCTATGGAAAACAGTACGGCTGTTCCTCCAAAAATTAAAAAGTAGAATTACTATATGATTCAACAATTCCATTTCTGGGTATGTACCCAGAAGAACTGGAAGCAGAGTCTGGAAGAGGTATTTATATACCCATGTTCACAGCAGCATTATTCAGCATAGCCAAAAGGTAGAAGCTACTCAAGTGTCCACTGACAGGTGAATGGATAAAGATTGTCTATACACACAAAGGAATACTATTCAGCTTTAAAAAAGGAAGGAAATGCTGGCACATGCTACAACAGGCTAAGCCTTGAGGTCATTATGCTAAGTGAAATAAGCCACTCACAAAAGGACAAATGCTGTATGATTCCACTTATATAAGTGGCCTAGAGTAGTCAAATTCATAGAGACAGAAAGTAGAATGGTGGTTGCCAGGGACTAGCATAGTGAGGAGTTACTTTTTAATGGGTACAGAGTTGCAGTGCTGCAAGATGTAAAGAGTCTGGAGTGGCACAACAACGTGAATATACTTAACACTGCTGAACTGTACACCTAACAATGGTTATGATGGTAAATGTTGTGTTATGTGTATTTTACTACAAAATTAAAAAAAACTCGATGCTATTAAGCTTGTCCCCTTTTAGAATGTAAAACCCAAGGCTGTATATAATTTGCTGAATTAAAAATAATGTTTAAGGTACTTTAATTACGGTATGGTTATGTGAATGACTAAGTTGATAGATTCAACATAGAACAATTTGCTAAGATAGACCCTAGGTTAACAGACAGCATGCAGAGTTGGCTAAGGTGTTTATATTTAGGGAAAATGTTTTAAGGAGCTTTTACTGTTTAGATAGTTTCAGCATTTAATACATGATTGTGCAAAGGTGAGATTCTAGAGTTTGTAAAACTGACATTATAATAAAAGTCCTTTGTTTTTTAGGGGGTATCACCTTAAGATTTTTCTGTTATAAAATTAATTTGTGCTTAATAAAAATGTGGAAAAATTAAGAATAAAGTCCCACCACCCAAATTTAACCTTATTTCCTTTCCAATCATTTTTCCATGCACAAGTTTAAAAAAATATTTAGGGCTTCCCTGGTGGCGCAGTGGTTGAGAGTCCGCCTGCCGATGCAGGCCCGCATACTGCAAAAAAAAAAAAAAAAAAAATCCAAAGGAGATAATCCATAATGTAGAAAATGCTCTTTACAAACAAAGATTTCAATTTTAATTTATATTGTTTTAATTTATACCATAATAAGGTAAATATAGTATAATGCACCAAAATATACTATAACTGGCGGGGGGATATCCTGAAAATTCCCTAATTTTCCAAAAATAAAAAAGTGGAAATTAAACTAAAACTTATATACTCTGTCATCTATTATACTTGCAACCTCTTAAAATAATGGTTACTATTCATATGTAATATGATCATAACTAATTTTTTTTTTTTTTTGCGGTACGCGGGGCTGTCACTGTTGTGGCCTCTCCCGTTGCGGAGCACAGGCTCCGGACGCGCAGGCTCAGCGGCCATGGCTCACGGGCCCAGCCGCTCCGCGGCATGTGGGATCTTCCCGGACCGGGGCACGAACCCGTGTCTCCTGCATCGGCAGGTGGACTCTCAACCACTGCGCCACCAGGGGAGCCCTCTCCTTTGGATTTATTCCCATAAACAAAATTCAACATCAAAAGGTTTAAACATTAAGGGTTTTCATAATTGTAAGGGTTTTGATATTGCCAAATCGCTTACCTACCTAAAAAGTGTATAAGTGCTGTCACACAGCACCCTCGCCAGCCTTTAATGTCATTTATTAATTTTTGTCAACTATTTTTGTGAAAAATTGTGTTATTTTACTTTGCACTTCTTTGAGCTTCTTTCAGTATGTTTGTGTCCTTATTGTATATCCTAGTTTTTTTTTAGTGGCTTGTTTATTCATGTGTCTTGCTCATCTACAATTGGATTCTAATGTTTTCTTATTAATTGTATTTAATTTATATATAATAAACAGTAACACTTTGTATCATAGTTCCTGCAAGTACTTTCCCCAGTCTATTGCTTACATTTCAATTTTGACTATTTTTATTTAATTGATGTTTCTAATTTACCTATGATGGAATCTGCCCTTATTTTCATTTGTGTTTTCCAGTGAATATGTTGTGTGTGCAGAAAGTGGTTAAATGTAAATGGCAGTGAACCTACATTATTGTCCAATAGTGTCATTTAGAAATAACACAGGAGTTATCTCATTCCTGTCCCTGAGTCTGACACTACCTGAGTAGTGAGTAAGAACTCTCTACTCTGCCAAACCCTTCAGGTGAGGGTTGCCAGATCAAATACAGGATGCCCAATTAAATCTGAATTTCAGATAAACAACAAATGCTTTTTTAAAAAAGCATCAGTATGTCCCAAATATTGCATGGGCCACATGGATACTAAAAAAATAGTATTCATTGTACATCTGAGACTAGATTCAATTTTAGCTGGGCATCCTGTATTTTTATTTGCTACATCTGGCACTCCTACTTGGGACTAGTTTATTTACACCTGCTTACTTAACACCATCCTGTACTGTGTTGGGGCTGCGGATGGTGGGAGCTGAACGAGGAGATAGTTCCTGTCCTCAGAGAGTTTATATTCTGGTTTCCCAGAGAATTTTGCGATCAGAAAAATAATCTCCTGGACTATTTCAATGACTGCTAGAATATACTTTGAGCACAGCCTCTGTATTTTCCTGCTGCCTAACGCAGAGTTGTCCACGTTCACCTGACCACAGAACCACCTGAAACACCCCTCCCCTGGGGAGTCTGATTCTTTTGGTTTGAAGAGGGATCCAGGTGCCAACGGTTTTAACAAGAGCCCAGGTGATTCTCCTGCCCAGGTAAGTCTGTGGAACTCTGGCAGCCTTGGCGTTGGAGGCCTCCGAGTAACACCTGGCATAAAGTCACGGTCCAAGGCAGCTTCAGATCTTCCACTCTTTTACGACCTATTCAAAATCACTGATACACATTTTGCAGTGCTGATCATCTTTGTAAGCTGCTTTAGTTCATGAAGTTCATCCCATTTGGTCTTCACTCTAATTCTCCAGGAAAGCCGGGAAGCTTATTTCCGCTTTACAGAGAAGGACAAGGAGGCTCACAGGGGCTAAATTCACACAGCAAGCTCCAGAAGCCGCCGGAGCGGCAAGGCCCGCCCTCTTTCCACCCCACCGAGCTACCTCCTTTCGCGTACAAAACGTACGTGGGGACCACTGGGGCTGGACTTCAGGTGACTTCCGCTCCCAAACCTGCAGCCCCAGGCCTGCAATTAACAAACGGGGGTGGAGAGGTCCGTGCGCTGCTGGGCGCAGGCACCGGGGCCCACGGGTGAGCGGGGGCTGGGGCTCCGCGGGCCGGCGCCAGGCGCTCCGGGTGCGGAGTGGCGGGCAGTCCTCCTGCGGGACCCCTCCAGCCGCGCGGCCTGCTCGCTACCGCTCCCGGGGCGCCGCCTGCTTGCGAGCCCGGCGGCCTGGAGCGGCGCGCGCGGGCACGGCGGCGGCGAGGACGCGCGCGGGGCTGGTTCTCTAACCGCCGCTCCCGGGGAAGAGGGCGGCTTCCCGGGAAGCCCGTCGCCGCCGCCGCCGCCGGCTCGGAGGTGCGGAGAGGGTTATTGGGAACTCGGGGCGCGCGTGAGCGTCACCAACGCTGCCGCCACCCGGGACAGCCCGGAGGTTGGTAGCTGGTGATCGTAGCGGGTCCTCGGGAAGTTAGGTGTTGACTTTCTGCTTCGACTGACTCGGTTGAGAAAAAGAAACGCCCGATACGCTTTCTGTTTCCAATTCCCGTTCCTGAGTGCGCGCCCGAGGGCGGGGCAGAGGAGCCGAGACAAAGGCGGGGGGGCGCGGTGAGGGGGGCGTGCGCCCGGGTCAAGGCTGCGTTCCCCCCCGGCCGGCCGAGTCAGCTCACGCCCCTGCCAGCGTCCCCACTCCTTGGCTTCGTCCCCAGTTTCTGGCACTGTTGCTGGAAGTGTGGACGCCGGTCCCCTTGGCGATCTTAGAAGTGCGCCTGCCTGACTGCTGCGGCTCCAGTGACCCCCAAAGTTAGGGACTTTTGCTATCTACTCTCCGGACTCAGTTTCCCTCTTTTCTTCTACCTGTGGCCTTTAGGTGGCATCAGTCTTGATGTGGAAGGGCCCTCCTCCTCTCAATCCCTACAAAGTGGGCGGGAGAGGTACTAGGATGGATAGCACTGGTGATAAGAAATGTGCTGCTTCATTGCTTCGTGGCTCTTGGATCAGGGCAGTCAGGCTAGCCAGTTGGTATCCTCGGTGGTTTACATTATATGGGGGTGCGACTCACCGTTTCTGTCCTTTTCTGATTTGTATTCCTCCTTCATTCATTCGCACAGCTAGGCGTTTACTTCCATGTGATAAGTGTTATGGGAACACAAGGAGAGGAGAGGGAAGGCTTTCCTGAGGAAGGGGTGGTTTTTATACTGGAATTTGAAGAATAAGTATGATTTTTTTTCCCTTTCATTCTTCATGTTCCACCTTTCCTATAATTTGTCTCCCTCCTTTCTCAGTGGCAGCCCCTAACTGTGATTAAGTGTTGGATGGGAACAGTCAGTTCTGACTTGAAAGATTCAGCTAATAGTGATGGGGACGGTGTGCTTGTCAGGTGCTTTAAATCCATTCTTTTTAAACCTTGCAATAACTGGGAAGGACACCTAGTGTTAGCCCTTTTCACAGCAGAAGAAAGGAATACTTAAATGCCAGAGCCACAGAAAGTTAAGTGCTGGGATCGGGTTTTGCACTCCTCTTTCTGGGTCAAAGCCTATGCTTTATCTGCTGTTTACTTTGCCCCCTCCTTGGGAAGTAAGTTATATAGACTAACTTAGAGTGAAGGCCAAGTCTTTAGAGAGAGCAGTCATTTTTGTGGGTGGCTAGATGTTGGTGGGAACTCTGAAGGTAATGTCAGGGGCTAGCCAGGGTGGGCCTTACTCATCTGTGTGTCTTCTTCCAGGCCAGGGCCTGGCCAAAGGGAAGTGCTCCTTAACCGTTGCCTGGGAGTTCCATGGCTTGGGTGAGATCCTTGATTCTTTGTAGGGGTTCCTTACCCTTTTTTTGTGCCATGGACTTCTTTGGAGTCTGGGGAAGCCAATTTTTAAAAGGCATTTTAAAGTACGTAGAGTTACAAATTATATTGAAACAGTGATCAAAATAGTGTAAAAACCCCAACATTTATAATAGTATTTTTTTTTCTTGATTAGTGCATTAAGTGACAAAATTCAGGGCTGCATCAGGTAAGTCTCAGAATTTCAAAGTAGTGATGCCCATATAATGATGTTTTGCAGTATTTGCAACAGCTGCACTGTAGTATGACAGAATTTGTGACACTTATTGGTGACAGTCACCAGAAATGCTCTTACTAGTGTGATTTGCTCTTCGCACTTACAATCAAATGAAATCCTGAATTTCAGTTAGAGGTTCGTGAAAATACAGACATATGAGAAAAGATACTTAAGTTCATGGCCTCCTGAATTCTGCCTATGGACATCTTGTGGGTGGAGGGCTGGGTATCTAGGTTACAAACCCAGCTAGTGGTGGTTTTTCTTCCTCCACGTTCGTGCTGGCCACCCTACAGCGTTACTAATGGCTGTTCCCTTCTCCTTCAGTTTGTGTCTCCTTTTCCGCAGGTGCACAGTTGTTTCTGGTGATAAAAGCTGTTGAGAGAGAATTGCTGGATTGTTTACATGCTCTACCTCTCGCTCCTTCTGTGCGTAATTCTACTGGAGAATATTCCAGTGATAGTGGATTTATTTGTGTCATATAATGCATGACCATCTTCCCTTCCCTCCTTCCAATGGTGTATGGTATTACCAGTGTCAGGGAAGAAAAAAGGAGTTATCACTACATATCCTACAGACATTTAAAAAAATCTTCAGATGTTATTATGAACAATTTTATGGTAATACATTTGAAAATTCAGATGAAATGGACAAGTTTTTTCAATAAAATACCTCATAAGACATAAGAACTAGAAAATCTGTATACTTCTATATCTATAAAGAAATTAAATATGTAATTAAAAATCTTTTCATAGCAGAATTTCCAGGCCTAGATGGTGTCACTAGTGCAATATTACAAACATTTTAAAAAGTGAAAAAGAAGGAATACTCCCTGACTGCTTTTATAAGGCCAGCACAACCTTGTTACTAAAGCTTGATAAGGAGGTTACAAGAAACTATAGTCCAAACTCTCACAGAAAAGACGCAAAAGCCCTAAAATGGGTATTGGTAAATCAAATCTAGCGACCTATACTTATATTTATAGGATAGCAAACCATGACCAAGTTGGATTTATTCCAGGAATGTAAACTTTGTCTAACATTAGAAAATCAATAAATAATTTAACCACAGTTACAGAATAAAGGAGAAAAACTACTTGATAAACTTCAACACCCATCTGTGATAAAAATTCTTTGCAAAGTAAAACATTATTGAGAGAATTTAAAGTTTTAAAATAATGAAGGTAAGTCATTGCTCTACAAATAAATGTGTGGATTCAGTATAATCCCAATCAAAATCCCAGCAGATTTTTCCCAAAAATAGTAAGCCAATTTTAACATATATTTGGAAATTCTAGAAAATCTAAGTAAAAGAACAAAATTGGAAAACTCAAGCTAATAGATAGTACTGTATGTAGTTTGTCAGCATGGTGTTGGCACAGTGCTAGACAGACCACGGAACTGAGTACAGAATCCATAAACAGGCTCACATGTATGAGGCCTCTTGATTTATGACATAAGTGGCACTGCAGTGCTCTGGAGAAAGGACAGCCTTTTCAGTAAATGATGCTGGGCCAACTGGATATTGCAAATGGACAAGATGAATTTTGATCATCTACCTCACCCCATACACAAAAATTAATCAAGGTACATCATACATCTAAATGTGAAATCTGAAACAAGAAAGCTTCTGGAAGAAAGCAAAGTCAAACACCTTTATGACAAAGGTTTATTGACTAGGACACAAAAAGCAGTAGTTATAAAGGAAAATATTGGTAAGAACTACTGTTCATCTAAAGATTCCATAAAGAGAGTGAAAAGGCAAGCTACAGAACGGGTGAAGGTATTTGTGATAGTTATATCCAATAAAGGACTCATACTCAGAATGTAGAAATAATTTTTACAAATCATTGAGAAAAAGCCCAGTAGAAAAACAGGCAAGTCACTTCCCCAAAAGATTTCCAGATTCCCAATAAACATATGAAAAAGTGGTTAACCTCATTAGTAATTAGGGAAATGCAAATTAAAACTACAATGGGATATCACTCTATACTCAACAGAGTGGCTAAAAACAAAAAACAAACCAAAAAACCTGGCAATGCTGAGTATTTGTTAGGATATGGAAAACCTGAACTTCTCATACATTGCTCATGTTATGCAAATTAGTGTAACTTTTGGAAATTGTTTTGCAGTATCATTTACTAAAGATGGGCATACACATCCCCTATGACCTAGTTTACTGTTTAGTGTCTATCATTCTTTGATAAACACTAAGCAGTAAGACAGGTGTATTTGTACCGAAAGACATGTAAAAGTATATGCAGAGCAGTATTATTCCTTATAGCCCCAAGTTGGAAGCAACCCATGGGTTCATCCAGAGTAGAATGGACAAAAGCCTAAGTAAATTGCTTATACAATGGTATACTCCACAGTAATAAGAATGAACAAATTATTGCTTTATACACAACATGGATGAGCCTCACAAATATAAAGTGGGGCCAAAAGAAGGTAGACACAACAAGAGTAAGAGCTATGTGATTCCATGTTTTTGTTTTTTTTTGAAGTCCGAAGATGGGCAAAACTAAATAAACTAGGGCGTTAGGAGTCAGGCTAGTGGTCACCTTTAGTGGAGTTATAAGGAAAGAACAGAAGGGGCATTCAGTTTTTTATCTGAGCAGTAATTCCTGGCGTGAGTCTGCTTTTTGAAAGCCTTACATTTTTTTTTCTTTAAGCATACTTTAATACAAAGTTTACTTAAAATATATTATTAAAAAATTTGATTCACTCAAGATGCCCCTAATCTGGAGAGTGTAAGATGTGGTGGGCATGATTCTTGGTGATTAAACAGGCTTAAAAAAGGTTGAGAATTTTCCGGGGAAAGGATACAATATCACACCAGTAGCTTTCCTGAACTAGGGGCTTATAAATCTGACTCCTTTTCTGCCAATCTTTAACAGCAGAGATCTGGCTTAAGGGCAGTTCATATAAAAGGACTTAAGAGTTA